ATGTTATATAATAAGATGAACATGTTATATAATAAGATGAACATGTTATAAAATAAGATGAACATGTTACATAATAAAATGAACATGTTATATAATAAGATGAACATGTTATATACACAATAAGGTGAACATGTTACTAAGATGAACATGTTACATGATTAAATGAACATGTTATAGAATAAGATGAACATGTTACATACACAATAAAGTGAACATGTGACAAAATAAGATGAATATGTATTGTTTCAATCTACAATCTGTAACATGTTCATCATATTTGAAAACATATTCATTTTATTATGTAACATGTTCATTATATGTCAGTATAATAAAATAATTACGAAAAATTATGAAAAATTATGAAAAAACGAAAAATTAGTTATGTTCAAAAACCTATCAAATGTGGTCTCTATTTATAGATAATGAAAAATTATGAATTTTGATATTTTTATTTTATTTTTTTAATATAAATAATTAATGATATTTTAATTTATGTAATATGTCCCATTTTTATATTAAAAAAGAAAATTGGGGATGTGAACTACACTCTCCAAATTTCTCTAGTATTGGGGAGTTTTGGGAGTAAATGGGCGCGTGCAAATGTGCCCTGGCACACCTAGCTAGGTGTGCCAGGGCACACGGTAGTGGTACTGGGGGAGTGATGGGATAAATGATGAAGAGGCGCCACAGCCGGGGAAAAGTCCACATGACGACTCAACTCATTTTTTGGCTGATTTTTTGAGCTTGCTTTGTTTGGAGTTATTTGCCACGTCACTGCTGGAAAGATCTACAAATATAATATCCCGCCGTTCTTGGGAGCAGTAAAATTTATTTGGGCCAATAATTTGCAGCAGTGATGTGCTGTGTAGCCCATAGATAGTCCTCCTTTAAACACACAAAGTACCAACCAATTGCGATTAGACATGGGCACGGGTCGAACCGGCCCGCCGAACCGGCCCGGACCCGGCCCGCACCCGACCGGGCCCGAACCGGACCCAGACCGGAAAAGCTGGTTTTCGAACCGGAACCGGATATCTAGAGGGCCGGTCCCGGGCCTCTTCGGTCAAAAAAAAAACCCGGCAGGCCGGGCCGGGCTCGGTCCGGGTTCCGGGTTTTTGAGCCAACGAAGAAGAAGAAGAATATGTGGGACCCGGCCCGGAACCGACTCGACCCGCCGGATTTGCGACCCGGCGGTTAAGGGCCGATTCAGTGAACCGGCCCTTAGTTACAAGCGGGCCGGGGCCGGTTCACTACACGGTGAACCGCCGACCCGGCGGGCCGGGCTGGGTTTCGACTCGGCCCGACAAATAGACACGTCTAATTGGGATGATTGAAAAATGACGCATGTTATATTAAGGATTCAAAAATTTTAATTTATAATGATAAAATTAATTTAAGAACGTTGTGTATAAAAAAGTATTTAATATTTAATTGTTATTAATTTGCACGAATTATAATTTTTATTTATTGATTTTTTTTTCGGGAGCATTGTAGCTCCTGTGCATTTGCACATGTAATCGTATTAGTATTAACATAAAAAATGCACGAGGTAATTGTATTAGTACTAACATAAACGGGCATCACCAACAAAGCCGCCAAGCACAATCTCATACACTAATTAGTTGATCATTCGAAATTCGAAACGAAGCCCGTGGATTGTGAACTCTAAAATTTAAAACTCCAATTCAATCGAGCTCGAGCCTTAACAAACTAAATTATATAAAAACAATAAAAATATATGTATATAAGTTTTTGAGTTTTATCGAGTCGAACTCATGAGTGACTCATTTCGTTTAACAATTCCCTCTAGTTAGGTATAGAGATTGGAAGTATTTTGCATCTCTTGACTGCCTGAATTATAAGCCAGCCTAAAAGGCAATCTTTGAATAAGAAGAATTTGTACATGTTCATATTTTCAACGTTAATTTCTTGCCTTTTAGACATGACAAGCTATGCTACCTGGACTCGGATATGGGTGGCGTATCCGGTGTGGAGATATGAGCGTCCGGCTCGTCAATAGTTTAGAAATCTTGAACATTTTAAGCTAAAATGCCACACCCGACACTCATACCCACACCAATGTCGACACAACATGACACGGGTATTGTTATTAAATAGAAAAGTCCAGGTAACATACATAGATGACAAGATATATCCCCACCTTACCATTATCCAGCCAACACTCCAGTTCCCATCTTTGAAGGCAAAGATATCAATAGTGGAACATGGTTATAATTAAATAATTAAGATTATCATGTTATACTTGATAGTATCAATAATAGTATTATTCCAAATGAATGGAATATAAACCCAGATCAATATACTCCATTAGATGAAACATGAGCATCAATCATTTAAGACATTAATGTTTAATGCTCTTTAACACGATTAATTAGCAACTAGCTATCAGAAATCGAGGGCCCCATCCTTGAATTCCAGGGGAAATTAAGTCCTATTGGACAATGACCAAATTACCAAATATTTGGTATGTTGTCTGAATTTCAATGTCATAGCATATATAGGATAAGCTGTAATATCACTATCTAGCCTACATAAAACCGCACGCAAATATTAATGACCCCATAAATTCGTTGTGAAAACTGATATATAGCATTTAAATTATGCCATTAATTAAGTTATAGTGTTTGTTGCCTGTGCATCATAACTTGGATTTAGATTTTAGATTTTGTGTGAACTGAAATAAAGATAGAAAAAGAATATACTAATGTAAATAAACATCAATAACAGGCTCATATGCATGAAAAGATATGGTAATTAATCACGAAAATCACATTACAATGTGAAAATTTATAGGTCCGATAATCATAAAACACATAAACCTTCGTTCTTTTTTTTTTTTTTTTTTTTTTTT